CAAGAAAATGACAGACACACTCCTTCCTCAGGGCCATTGCACTTTTAGTACTCCTGGCCTGGGAAAACATACCCCTGGATTGTTCCTAAATGTTCACTATTATAATTATACTTCCCCACCCCATTGATGTTGAATTTAGACATATGTCTTGATTTGGCCAGTGGAATGTTAAACAGAGGCTTTAAATATATTTGCATGGTTTGGCTTGCCCTCTTGAACTCTTGTGATTGGCTATGAGCAGAATATGCTCTAGTTGGCTGCTGGTCTAGGTAAAGAAAGAAAGGTGGAATAAACCTGAACCCAACCCACAATTAGGAGCTAAGTTTGGCTGATTTCTGATTAGTTCAGTAGAGCCACAGCTGACCTTCAGATTCATGAACAAGACAATAAATGTTTGCTATTGTAAGTCATTAACAGTCTGAGGGTGTTATGCATTAAAATCTGAAAACTACAGAAATTGATATGCAGAAGTAAGATGCTGTCCTAACAAAACCTAAACTTTGTCATAGTCATTGCTTTTGTGACTGGATAGTAGGTAATTAGGAAAATATAACAGAAAAATAGTGACACATTCACAAGCACATGGAAATTAAACAATATGCTCCTGAACAGCCAATCGGTCAGTAAAGAAATTCAAAGGGAAATTCAAAAATATCTTGAGACAAACAAAAAATGGAAATACAATATATCAAAACTTATCAGATGCAGCAAAAGCAGTTCTAAGAGGGAAGTTCACATCAATAAACACCTACATCAAAAAAGAAGATCTTTTGAGCTGGGGCTGGAAAAAAAGGAAAGATAAGTTCTGAAATACACAATTTAGTGTTACACTTCAAGGAACTAGGTAAAGAAGAACAAACTAAGCATGGAGTTAGCAGAAGGAAGAAAATAATATCAGAGCAAAAATAAATGAAATAGGGACTAGAAAAACAATAGTAAAGACCAATGAAATGAAGAGGTTTTTTTTTTTTTTTTTTTTTTTTTAAACAAAATGGACAAATCTATAGCTAGACTAAGGAGACAGAGAAGACTCAGATAAAGTCAGAAAAGAAAGATGAGACATTATAACCGAAACCACAGAAATAGGATAATAGGATCATAAAAGACTGCCATTATAAACAATTATATGCCAACGAATTAGATAACCTAGAAGAAATAAATTCCTAGCTACATATAACCTACCAAGACTGAATCATGAAGAAGCAGAACATCTGAATAGATGAATAATGAATAAGGAGATTAAATTAGAAATAAAAAGTTCCCCATCAAAGAAAAGCTGGGGACGTGATGGTTTCACTGCTGAATTCTACCAAACCTTTAAAGAGGTACTAATATGAATCCTTCTTAAACTCTTCCAAAAAATTGAAGAAGAGGGAGTATTTCCAAATTCATTTCATGAGGCTAGCATTTCTCTGATACCAAAGCCAGACAAGTAAGCTACAAGAAAAAGATAACAGGCCAATATCCCTGATGAGCGTAGATGGAAAAATCCTTGACAAAATACCAACAAACCAAATGTAGCAGCACAATAAAAGATTATTCCTCATGATCAAGTGGATTCATCCCAGGAATATAGGGATGGTTCAACATATGCAAATTGATAAATCTGATACATCACAACAGCAGAATGAAGGACAAAAACCCTATGATCATCTCAATATATGCAGAAGAAAACATTTGATAGAATTCAACATCCTTTCATGATAAAAATGCTCCACAAATAAGATATAAAATGCATGTACCTCAATACAATAAAGGCCGTCTATGACAACCCAAAACTAACATCATACCCAGTGATGAAAACTTGAAAGCTTTTCCTCTAAGATCAGGAACAAGACAATGATGCCCACTTTTACCACTTTTGTTCAACATAGTACTGAAGTCCTTGCCAGAGGAATTAGACAAGATTAAAAGGAAGAAGTTAAATTGTCCTTGTTTGCAGAAAACATGATCTTATATATAGAAAACTCCATCAAAGAACAGAATTTAAAAATTCAGTAAAGTTGAAGGATTAAAAAAATGCAAAATCAGTAGTGATTCTATACAAACTATAATTAATAAACTAAAAAACAAGCTATCTAAAAAAGAAATCAAGAACATAATTCCATTTATAATATCTACCAAAAAAAGTAGGAATAAATTTAACCAAGGAAGTGAAAGACCTGTATACTGACAATGATAAAACATTGATAAAAGAAATAGAAGACATGGAATATCTTCTATGAAGAAATGGAAAGGTATCTTGTGCTCACGGATCAGAAGAATTGTCAAACTGTCTATACTACCCAAAGTGATCTACAGATTCAGTACAATCCCTATTAAAATTCCAATGGGATTTTTCAGAGAAGTAGAAAACAAATTCTGTAACTTATATGGAACCACAAAAGAGCCCAACTAGCCAAAACAGTCTTGAGCTACATGAACAAACCTGGAAGCTCACACTGTCTGACTTTAAAATATACTATAAAATGACAGAAATCAAAATGGCATGGTACTGGCAGAAAAACAGACACATAAACCAATAATGAAATAGCCCCAAAATAAATCTGTGCATTTGTAGTCAATTGACTTTTGACAGAAGTGCCAAGAACACACAATGTGAAAAGGACAGTATCTTCGATAAATGCTGTTAGGACAATAAGATATCTACATGCAAAATAATGAAATTAGACTCATCTCACACTATGTACAAAAATCAACTAAAATTGGATTAAAGACTTAAATGTAAGACTTGAAACTATAAAACTACTGAAAAAAATATAGGGGAAAAGCTCCATGTCATTGGTCTGGGCAATGATTTTTTTGGATATGAACTTGAAAACACAAGCAACAAAAGCAAAAACAGATACATGAGATTACATCAAACTAAAAAGCTTTTGTACAGCCAATGAAACAATCAACAGAATGATGAGACATCTAATGGGATGGGAGAAAATATCTGCAAACCGTACATCTGATAAGGGGCTAATATCCAAAATGTATCAGGTACTCAATAGTAAGAAAACAAATAGCCTGATTAAAAAATGGGCAAAGGCTCTGAATAGATATTTGTCAAAAGAACAAATACAAATGCCCTGCATCACTAATCATCAGAGAAATGCAAGTTAAAACCAAATATGGATGTTACCTCATGCTTGTTAGAGTGGCTGTTATTAAAAAAAAAAAAAAAAAGATAATCAGTGTTGGAGATGTGGAGAAAAGGAACCCCCGCACACTATTGGTAAGAATATAAATTAGTACAGCCATTATGGAAAACAGTATGGAAGTTCCTCAAAAAATTAAAAATAGAATTATCATCTAAACTAGCAATCCTACCACTGAGTCTATATCTACAGGAAAGGAAATCAGTATGTCAAAGAGATGTCTGCACTCCCATGGTCATTGCAGCACTATTCACAATAGCCAGTGTATGGAATCAACTTAAGTGTTCATCAACAGATAAATGGATAAAGAAAATGTGGTATGTAGCATGATGAAATATTGTTCAGCCTTTAAAAAGAAGGAAATCTTGTCATTTGGAGTAATACAGATGAACGTGGAGGACATTACATTAAGTGAGATAAGCCAGGCACAGAAAGATCATGATCTCACTTATGTGTGGAGTATTAAAAACAAAAAAACGCTGAGCTCATAGAAGTTGAGAGTAGAATGGTAGTTACCAGGGGCTGCAGGAGTGAAGGGGTGTGGGTTGGGCAGGTGTTGGTCAAAGGTTGCAAAATTCCAATTAGATAGGAGGAATAAGCTCAAGAGATTTATTGTTATATCATTGTGACTGTAGTTAATAACAACATATTATACTGAAAATTGCTAAGAATAGATTTTAAGTGTTTTCAGTGTTCTCACCACAAAAATAAGTATGTGAGGTAATGAATATGTTAGCTCAATTTCACCATTCCACAAGGTATACCTATTTCAAAACAATGTGTCATATACAATAAATACGTATAATTTTTACTTATTAAAAACAAATGAATTAAAGAAGAATTGTGACACAAATTATGTAGAAGTGATACATTTAGTAACACTGTCTCAAGTGATAGTTTGAAAGACAGAAAATCTGCCTAACAGATTGGGTCACTGGAAAAAGGTTTTGAGGTAGACTATTAACAGTGTGTGTTAGGGATTATATTGCTTGGTTTCCCCTTATATACTCCAGGTTTTCACCATAGGATCTTCCCTGTGTATTCTCTAGCCCAAGCAAATGAGAAACATGTGGAACATAACTGAACTCAACCTGTAGCCTGAATCCAAGACCAGTTGACCCAACCCATGTCTGATAGAGCCAACCTGCAGACCCATGAGTGAGAAAATAAAAGTTTGTTGTAAGCCACTGAGGTTTTGAAGTTGTTATGTACCAAAAAGTAGTTAATATACCTAGTATCTACTTGGCTTGTCCCTCATTTCCTTTGAATTCTTACTTAAGTATTTATCTTTTACTTTGGTAGCCTCTATCCAAAACTGCAATATCCACCTAAACTCTTTATTCCCCCTCCTGCTTTTTTACTCCTTAGGCACTTATCCCCATGTAACACATCATGTGTTTTACTTACCTTCTTTATTTTTTCTCTCTCCCTGCCAGAATGTAAGATAACAAAGGGAAAGCTGTTGTCTCATTTTGTTCACTGCTCTATCCTCAGCACTCAGCCAGCGCCTGATAAGTGATTGGAGCTCAATACATAGTTGAATAATAAATTCATAAATTAAGCAGTCGGGTGATGTATGTTAGGCTACCACCTCTGTCACTAACAAGTTGTATGGCTTTTAAGAAATAATTTCATCTCTATGGATCTTAAGTATCCTCATCTATAAAGCAAGGATGTTAGAATAAGAAACCCTAAGGTTAAATAATTCTATGATTTAAAATATGTACATAGTTGGAAAATAAGTAACAGTGATGACAAAATAATGACATATCTGCAATTTTTTACCTGATTATTAGTCACAATAAGAACAGTACCTACACAGCATATCCACATATAAGCAAAAATATTCAGTCATACCTGAGAAGTTAACTTGAGAAGGTCAGTCAGAGAGTCAATGGATTCTGAACTGTCAGAGCCTCGGCTACTACAAAAAAAATAATTTTGGTTTACACAATGTTTTGGTGGCATCTTAATATTTCAGCTGTTGCTTTTATTCTCTTATTTGAATGGTTGAAAAGTTCTAATTATAAGAAGTGGCTGGGCGCAGTGGCTCACGTCTGTAATCCCAGCACTTGGGAGGCCAGGGCAGGTGGATCACCTGAGGTCAGGAGTTCGAGACCAGCTTGACCAACATGGTGAAACCCCGTCTCTACTAAAAATGCAAAAATTAGATGGGCATGGTGGCATATGCCTGTAATCCCCGCTACTCAGGAGGCTGAGGCAGGAGAATCGCCTGGGCCCACGAGGCGGAAGTTTCAGTGAGCCAAGATTGTGCCATTGCACTCCAACCTGGGCAGCAAGAGCGAAACTCTGTCTCAGAGGGGTGGTAGGGGGGTGGTGGGGAAGAAGAAGAAGAAGAGGAAGAATGTTTACAAAGGTGGTTTAGATGTTTAGTAGTTCCAGACAACTTAGAGGGTTTTTGTTGAATGTGTGGAGAGATATAAAGGTTTGGGAATGTGTTAATGGAATGTAAGCTCCAGAAAAGTAGATTTTTTTTTTTTTCCGTCTGGCTCGCTCTATCACCAGAGTGGAAATAGTGCTCAGCATGTAGTAGGCACTCAGTAAGGTTTGTTAATACGTTAATGAATAAATGCGATATCAGGGGAGTTTCCTAGATGTCATGGGTATCAATAGCTCTTAAAATTCATTTATTTTTATATCACTATATCCATCCTACATAAAGCAATGCAGCACCATATGAAACATAGTACCTCAAGAAAAAAGGGTCAAACAAATCTATTTCTAATTATAATCATTTATTGCAATGGTAGGAATTTTTTTTTTTTTGCTTGAGAGCCAATACAAGAAAGAAAACATTTCTGGGTTGTATTTTTCATGTATTATTTTAAAATTAATATAATTTATGTTTTTAGAAAAGTTCTAGGTTTACAGAAAAATTGAGCAGGTAGTACAGAGTTCCCATACACATGCCCCCATTCCCTGCATAGCTTCCTAAATTATAGTATGCAGTACATTTGTAAATTAGACATCTGATAGTATGTGGTACATTTGTTACAACTGATTAAACAACACTGATACATTATTAAAAATTATAGTTTACCTTAGGGTTGACTCTTGTGGTATACATTCTATGAGTTTTGACAACTTTATAATGATATATATCCATCATTACAGTATCATAAATAGTAGTTTAACTGCCCTAAAATTCCTCTGTGCTCCATCTATTCATCCGTCCTTTTCCCAGAAGTTCTGGCAACCCAGTGTCATATAGTTGGGATCATATAATATGGGGTCTTTTCAGACTTACATTTTTCACTTAGCAATATGAATTAAAGCTCTGCCATATATTTTTATGGTTTGATAGCTCACTTAAAAAATCACTGAATAACATTTCATTGTCTGAACGTATGTTTCTTTCTCCATTCACCTACTGAAGGACATTTTGGTTGCTTCCAGTTTTTGGCAATCATGAATAAAGCTGCTATATGAATGCAATCACTGGATCAAGTGTTGAGTTCTTGTTGCTCCTCATCCTCACTGGCATTTGGTATTGTCAGTGCTTTGGATTTTAGCCATTATAATAGATGTGTCATGATATTTCACTGTTGTTTTAATCTGCAATTTCCTAATGAAAATGATGTCAAGCATCTTTTATTTTTATTTTTTTCACATGTCAAGCATCTTTAGACTTACTAATTTTTTTCTTTCATGGATCATGATTTTGTCATATCTAAACAGTCATTACTGAATTCAAGAGAATTTAGATTTCCTCCTATGTTATCTGCTAGGAGTTTTATAGTTTTGTCTTTTACACCTAGGTCTATAATTCATTTGGAGTTAATTTGTGTGAAAGGTGTAAAGTTGCTTCTAGTTCACATTTTTGCCTGTGGATGTCCAGTTGTTCCAGTAACATTTGTTGAAAAGACTTATTTCTCCATTTAACTAGGGATTTTTGTTGCTCTTTTTTCAAACACCATTGACTATATTTGTCAGCGGTGACAAATATATTGGATATATTTCTGAGTTCTCTGTTTTGTTTTATTGGTCTATTTGTCTGTTCTTTCTCTAGTACTGCACTGTTTTAATTATGTAGCTTTACAGTAAGTCTTAAAGTCAAGTAGCGTACGTCCTTAGATTTTGTCCTTCTTCAGTATTTTGTTAGCTATTTCAGGTCTTTTGCACACCCATACAAATTTTAGAATTAGTTTGTCTATAGCCACAAAATAACTTTCTGGGATTTTGACTGGAATTACATTGAGTCAAAAATCATGTCAGGAGGAACTGACATCTTAACAATATCATCTTCCTATCTATGAACACAAACTCTCTCTCCATTTATTTAGATCCTCTTTGATTTCTCTCCTCAGAGTTTGTAATTTTCCTCATATATATCTTACACATATTTTGTTAGCTTTAATCCAAGTATTTTAAATTTCTGTGCTAGTGTGGATGGTATTTTGTTTTCAATTTTAAATTCCAATTGTTCGTGGCTGGTATATTGAAAGGCAATTGTATATTAACCTTGTATATTTAAATCTTTCTATAATTATTAGTTTCAGGTTTTTAAAAAATTCTTTGATATTTTCTACATCAATAATCATGTCCAGTGTGAACAAAGATAAATATTTTAACTAAATTAAATGTAAAATACAACTTATTAATATTTGTAGAATGGTGCACAAGCAGTGCTTAGAGGGAAATGTATAGCATTGAATGCATATATCAGAAAAGAAGAAAGCTTTAAAATGAACAATCCAAGTGTCCACATTAGGAAATCAGAAAAAGGAGAAATAGAGACTTAATGCAAGCAGAAAAAAAGAAATAATTTAAGAATCAGAGAAACTGAAAACAGGGAATCAATAATCAATGAAAACAATGCTGCTGTTTTGAAAAGATTAATAAAATAGATAAATCCCTAGCCAGGTTAACCAAGAAAAAAGAAAGGGCACAATTTGCTAACATCAGAAATAAAAGAGGGGTCATCACTACTGATGCTATTGAAATTAAAGAGAAAAAGAAGGAGTACTAACAACTGTGTCCTCACAAATTTTATAGCTTAGATGAAATAGACCAGCTTCTTGAAAGACACAGTCTACCAGAACTCACACTGGGAGATATATAGATCTAACAGATAGATACATAGATCTACTAGATCTATATCAATTAAAGAAATCGAATTGAGAATTAGTGACCCTGCAAAACAAAGCACAAGTCCCAGATGGTGTATTGTGGATTCTACCAAACATTTAAGGAAAAAATAATACTGGTTTTCTAAAATCTGTTCCAGAAAATAGAAACAGAGAGAACACTTACTTTTTCTAAAAGGCTAGCATTATCCTAATACCAAAAGCAGACAAAGATACTGTCAGAAAGAAAAACTACACCAATATATCTTATGAACACAGGTGCAAAAATCTTTGAGAAAATATTAGCAAATTGAGTCCAACAAGGAATAAAAAGAATTATAAACCATGACCAAGTAGGGTTTATTCCAGGTATGCCAGGCTGTTTAAACATTAAAAAATGAGTTGATGTAATCTGTCACTTTAACAGGTTAAAGCAGAAAAAAATATATATCAATAGGTGGAGAAAAAGCATTTGACAAAATCCAACACATATTTATGATAAAAACTCTCAGCTAACAAAGTAGAGGGAATCTTGTTCAACAACAAAGTAGAGGGAATCTTGTTCAACTTGGTATCTACAGAAACCTTACAGCTAACATCATACATAATGGTGAGAAACTAGATGCTTTCCTGCTTTGACTGAGGACAGGACAAGGATGTCTTCTCATAGCTCTTCCACTCAGTATCATACTGGAAGTTCTAGCTAATATAGTAAGACAAGTGCTATGATATGGTTTAGCCCTTATGCTTTGTCCCCACTCAAACTCATGTTGAAATTTGATTCCTAATGTGCCAGTGTTGGGAGGTGGGGCCTAGTGGGAGATGTTTGGGTCATGGGGGTGGGTCCCTTATGAATGACCTGGTTCTCACTCTTGTGAAACTGGATTAGTTGTTGTGGTGATGGATTCGTTCCCACAAGAGTGGGTTATTATAAAGCAAAGATGCCCCTTGGGTTTTTGCCTCTTCCCCTGTGTGCACTTCCTCTTTGACCTTCTCTGCCATGTTATGATGCAGCATGAAAAGCCCTCACCAGAAGCTGAGCAGGTGCTACTATCGTGCTTGTACTTCCTTACCTGCAAAACCATGAGCTAAAGAAACCTCTTTTCTTTATAAATTACCCAGTTTTAGGTATTCTGCTGTAGCAACATTAAACAGAGTAAGACAATAAGAGAAGCAAATAAGAAGCTATACAGATTGATAAATAAGAAAACTCTCTGGGTTGTATTTTGGATATAAACAAACAAACATACAAATATATGTGTGCATGCATATTTTATAACAGTAATATGTATACACACATATTTATGTTTTTAAGCATATTTTAATTGTCTACCGTTAAATATTTTCCTTTTTTGGCTAAGAAACTACATAACTAGTTTATTATATTTACCGCAGTATCTGAATGAATGTGCATTAGAAAATATTTTTTTATTAAACAAGATACCTTTTAAAGTTGCTTTATCTTTTTTATATTAATTATAAAATATTGCTTGTTCTAGTGGCACTATTGTATTCTCTATAAGGAAATATCTTCCATTGCAAATCAGAAAATGTATCAATGCTTTTAAATCAAAGAAACTTCTACATTTCCTTATTTTGAAACACAATGCTCCTTTTTAAGCAGCAGCTATAAAAGGAATTTAAGTTTCATTTGGAAAATTTCTCCTCTGCACTCACAATTTAAGTTCCAATGGATTTTATTTTACTTTGCTTCTCAGACACAGCTACAAAGTACTTATAAAATGGCCCTCCAGGTAAATTTACTTATCTTTATTTCTGTGTTAGATCCAGCTTAAAGAGAGCCAAAGGCAAGAGGACACGCTGAGGTTAATTCACT